CCTCCCACCCCCCACGTGAACCCTTTTCCTTCCCCTTCCCTCCTCCCTCCGCAACTCACCGAGTCAAACTCGAGGACGGGAGAGTGATTTGAATCGGAAGGCAAGGTGAGTGGACCGAAATCACAGCCCACGTTGGTAACCAGGCTCCAATACGACTCGCAATGTAGGGGCGAGCTGAGCAGCAGCACGCCACACCCCACCCCGAGCCCGCACTCCATTTCCCCCCCAACGCCAATTCCCCTCACCATCCCCACACAGCAACTCACAGAGTCAAACTCAAGGACGGAGAGCGATTTGAAGCGGAACGCCAGGTGAGTGGACCGAATGAAGCCCACGTGGTGACCAGACTCCAATACGACTCGGCGATGTAGGGCGAGCTGAGCAGCAGCACGCCACACCCCAGCCCCACCAGCTGCGCCAAGGTTCAAAATTACGGTTTTCGTAAAATACGGTCCGTTTTTTACGGTCGTTTTTTACGGCGATTTTTCAAAAAAACGGCGGTTTTTTTGTTTAGAGAACTCTGTTCACAAGAAAAAAAAAGAGAAGAACAAGGTCAAAAAAACATGTTAAATCATGGCAACAAGCGCATACATGCAAGAAGGGGTTCCTTCCCCTTCATGCTGCTGCATTTCGGGTTCAATTTGGTCCCTCTAAGTGGCAGTTCTGTTAGTTATAGAGGAAACACCTCCTGGAACCGTTTTAAACCGTTTTTTACGACCGTTTTTTACGGTACCGTTTTTTACAGTAAATTTTCAATAAAACGGTCGTTTTTTTGAACCCTGAGCTGCGCCATCACCTTATACACCTCCTCCTTCGCCACCACCTCCCCCACATTCGCCTGCAGGGCGAAGTGCGTCTGGATAACCCTAGCCGACGGGTCCTTGAGCCCTTTCGCGACGGCCTTGTGAGGTTTCGAGTGACGCGAGGAGGAGAAAGTGGTTCGGCGCGAGGGGAGGGCGAGCTCGAATATTGCCCCGGACGAGCCGATTAGGTCCGCGACGAATCTCCACTGCTTCGGATCCTCGTCGAAGATGCTGCCGAAAACTGTCGCCCACGAGCAGCCGTCCGACCGCGCCTATGCCGTCCTTTGCCACCCATTTGGCGGCGGGTGGCGGCTGCAGCAGAGGCGGGGTCTACGGCAGGGAGGGCGGCTGCTGCTGCTGCTGCTGAGGTTGCTGGGTTGCCGCTGCTCCAGCTGCGACGGCACCGGTTGCACCAGTAGCGGCACCAGCAGCAGCGCCAGTAGCAGCAGCGCCAGTAGCAGCGGCAGCGCCAGCAGCAGCAGTGGCTGTGGATTTAACGAGCGACCCAACTCCAACTGCTTGCAGCAGCGTGGATGTGACGAGGGTTGACGACGCCCACCCTGTTATGTGCACCGGGAACTGCCAGAGCCTGTGGACAAGGGAGGGAGGGGGGGGGGCGGGGGCAAGAGAGGACTATGAGGCATCTCTTAGCAAAGAAGGGTGACGAGGGTTGACGACGCCCACCCTGTTATGTGCACCGGGAATTGCCAGAGCCGATGGGGAGAGAGAGGGAGGGAGAGTGGGAGGGAAGGAGGGATAGTAAGATCTGTGAGACGTCTCACATCACACAAACAACGAGGGTTGACGAGGCCCACCCCGTTATGCCACTGGCAAATGCCAGAGCCTGATGTGAGGGAGGGAGGGACGGAGGATGGAGAGGGGGAGGGAGATGGGAGGACCTTGAGATGTCTTGAGCAACGAGGGTCGAGAAGAGACTCACCCAGTAACGTGCACACCGGGAGCACAGAGCCTGACTTTTGAGTCGACTCAAAAGTCACCTCGTGCACACCAGGAGCACAGAGCCTGACTTTTGAGTCGACTCAAAAGTCACCTCGTGCACACCAGGAGCACAGAGCCTGACTTTTGAGTCGACTCAAAAGTCACCTCGTGCACACCAGGAGCACAGAGCCTGTTGGGAGGGAGGGAGGGATGAGAGGGAGGGGGGGACGGAGGAGGGAGTCGGGAGGAGAGGGGAGAAGAGGGGAGGAGAGGAGAGGAGAGGGAGAGGGGAGAAGAGGGAGGAGAGGAGAGGAGGGGGAGAGAGGGGAGAGAGGGGAGAGAGAGAGGGGAGGAGAGGAGACAGGGAGGCGGATGAGATGCAGAGGACAGAGAGGGGGAGGAGGAAAGTGGTGGGAGGAAAGACGGGGTTGAGAGGAGGAAGTGGGCTAACATACCTAGAAGGCACGACGGAGAGGATTTTTGAGGCGCCTCAAAGATGGGGTGGAAGGTTGAGAGGAAGTGGGTTTAAACATACTTAGAAGGCACGGACGGAGAGAGAATAGGGCTGAGATCTTACATGTAGCTTGTGTAGTCGCTGGTCAGGCTGCCCGGAAATCCAGCGGGCAGGAAGAAATTCTTTGCTGACTGGACCAGAGAGTCGAACGGGCCGCTTTGGGCATTCTCAGTTCCGCCTCCGTTACTGTCACCCTCGTTAGAAGCACCAGCAGCGGCATCGACAGATGGGGGGATGGGAGACGGAGCGGGGTCTGCAACGCTTACAAATCCTTGAGACGGGCTGATGATTCGATACCTGGGAAGGGGGAATACGGGAGAGGAGAGAGAAGGCACAGCAGGGAGGGGGAATGGAAGTTGGACGGGCTATGCTGCAACGCTTACAGCTGCTTCAGACGGGCTGATTCAATACCTGCGAAGAAGGAAAGAAGCGAGCAAACTAGATTAGAGGCGGCTAAAAAAGACGCAGCAGCAGAGAGGGGATGGAAAGCGGAGGGGGTTCTGCAACGCTAACAACTCCTTGAGACACACGCTGATTGATTGATACCTGCGGAAGGGATGTGTGTGGTGCCGGTGAGAGGGAGGAGGAGGTAGGGGATAGGAGACAAGTGGGTGGGGTGTAGAAGCACCACAGCAGAGTAAAAAGGTAATGAGGTGTGAGGGAGGGAGGGAAGGAGGGAGGGAGGGAGGGAGGGAGGGAGGGAGGGAAGGAGGGGGGGAGGGAAGGAGGGAGGGAGGGAGGGAGTGAAGGAGTGAGGGAGGGAGGGGGGGGGGGAGGGCGGGAGGAGGAGGAGGAGAGAGGGAGAAAAAGGGAGAAAAGGGTTGTGGAAGGAGTTGCAAGAGAATGTTAGTGATGGAAATTCCCGTCGTCATGATTCAATGCTGCGAGATACAGCGGATGTAAGGGATTAAAGGAACGGGTAAAAGGGAGGGATAATAAAGCTGCTTTTGATCAACACCAGGATTTTGGGCTTTATGGATAACGAGATTTAGGTTACAGGATTGGGCTGGTGAGGAGTGAGGACCTGCTTAGGAGGGAAAAAACGGTAATCAGAGATACAATTTCGGGAATAATTGCCGTTGATGAATTATTGGAAATTGTTACAACCAGTACACCCTGGGGAATGGTTACCACTGATGCACCCTCGAGAATGGATGGCACTGGATACGTCCTCTATCAAGGCCTGGCGTCCATTCGTCCATAAAAAAGAACGCGGAAACCAAGAAGCAGCGAACTAGGCTAAAAGGGGAAGAACCATCAGCATCCGTTTACCTCCGTATAGACGCATTCGCGCGTCTCTCCTCGATAATCAACCCTTCCTGCTGCTCCCTCGACTCCTCAACGTCTTTCCGTCTCTTGCTGTCGCTATCTCCCAGGCCCTTTCCTTCTTCATCCTTCCCACTGCCGTTTCGCGGTGTACTATTTCGGTCGTCCTTATTATTATTCCCGCTTGAGCTGTCAGAGCCAGCCTGGCACCGGGAATTTAACGTCCTTGGCTTAACGAAGTGTAACTTTCTCGTGTAACGGAGCGCCTTATTACGGGGATGGGAGACCTTTGGAGAAACGTAGTACTACTACCCTTCGTGAGTATAGGTTGCGATGTGTGGACCGTATCCCTCGCCACGGGTGAAATCACTCGACAACCACTGAAAGACCATTGTAGGTGAGTTGCCATTGCACCAGAACCTTTCAATGACGTGGCGTGATCACAAGCTGACGTCACGAGTTGCCCAAACGGCTCTTCATAAAACTAAGTCGACTTCCTAGGTTAGGAGAATCGCAGGGAGAGAGGCGACGGAGTAGGACGAAAAATGGGAGTCTGTTACGCAAAGAGGGAATGCTGCTTGTTGGCGGTGGCAGAAATCAAATCGACTAGATTCTTCTGGACAGAAGTTGGAGGTTTGGCCAGTTGGCGTAATTGTCTTGTCTGGAAGCCGCGACCGAAAACAATGGGGAGCCTAAGACCGGATTAATAGCCACATAAATGCAGTTTGCAAGCTGGCGGGATACAAGGATGCTTTCTGGCTGCTAGCGCGGCACGCGTGGCGCGGAACGATAGATTCTACAGCATTCGCGATTCAAGACTTTTTAGGATAGGAAGTGTCCCAACAGGTGTGTGGCACGGCTGGCTAATTTTGGAGTATTGGACTGGCCCTTTCTCTTCATATCCCGTTTTTCCCTCACAACCAGCCGCTTATGAAGGGACAAAACGAGTGTAAATGGCCTGCCTATTCAACAGACCAAGGGACATGCCTGAAAGAACGGAGTGAGCTCAAGCGCACCGGGCGCCATTGCAACGTCCGCCGCCTAATCCGGCATCTGATCAGAGAAAGAAAGGCGGCACGTTGCTGAACTGGAGGCACTATTGGAGGATAAAAGCCTCAGAAATTCAGCCTATTGGCGGTGTCTGTGGGCTGCCGGAAGGGAGGCAATGTCTAGGTAGGCGTGGGCCTCGATAATGTGGGCGTGGGACGCGTACGTGTGCAGTTTCCGCTTTTCCCGCGTCAGCAGCTTGCTGGAGTGTCTTCGTGAGTACAGAACTACGAAGGTGGATTCCGGGTGACTTGTACGTTCATGGAACTGACGTTGGTTCATTTTTGGTCAATGTCCTTCGAGAATTTTAGGGTAGTGCACCGACGAGATACAATCAAATTATGCACATAAATGAATTAATTACAGCCAACGCAATGCAATTAACAACATATGCAGATCAAGGACCTTCTCAACACTACAGCTTTCCTGTGTCATGGTTTTGTTTGCCTATTGGTCCTCTGCTCCATCATGCTCTGCACCAGAAGCGCACTCTCTAGACTGTTTATCTGAGACTGCACACAAGCAAACATGACCTTGAGATGTTGCAAATGAACCTAAAACAGGTAATCAAATGCGAAATTTAAGCGGCCTTCTTACCTGAAGGTGAGTGATATGGGAAATGGCCACCTCAATCATTGCAGCAGTGTCTATCTGTGGTCCCACTTCTCCTGCTGGTAGAGTTCGTCGCAGCTGTTGCAATCCCTCACTGCAATGACACAGCATAATCTTATATACCTGTGCGACTACAAGGAAAACAAAGAATCTGCCATGTGCGCTAAGAGCTGGGAACATACCTGATCTTATCTCGTCTCCTCCTCTCACGCATGCTTCTTGGTTTTATGACCCCTCGCTCTTTAGCTTCTGCATCAAAGCGTGTCCGAGTCCTTGGTCGCCAATCCCCCTCAGCAGGGCTGTCGGGTAACTGACATACCAGACTTGCTTGCTGTGCTTGTGTCCCACCTGCCAAATCAGCACTGGAATTGGATGCGCCCGGTGCAGGATCTCCACCATCACTGGATCCACCCACAGATGCTGCAACACCAGCTGCTGCAGTAGAGCCGCTGCCATCCAAACCACCCCCCCAACCAGCATGCCCATGCCTGTGAGGTCTCCTCTGGAGTTCGATCTCAGAAGCTCCTGCAAAAGTGCCTCTTCTTCCAGGTCAAGCATCACGCTTGCAGGGATGCAATTCTCGCCAGGGAATGACATGGTCCGTCTGCTGTCCACACTCCTTGCAGCCAAGGCCGTTTCGCCTGAAAGCCTCGGCATGGAACTCGACAGGCCAGCGGATCCAGCCAAAGGAGCTTCGGAGAGATTTGGTGAATCAGAAGCGGCAGTCGGTGATCTGGCAACACGAGGCGATCCAGCAAAAACCAAGGATTCCCTGGATGCAGTTATGGAGCCGGTGCCGTGTCCTCCTGGACCTCTGTCCTGGGCGGCTGGGACGCTCACAGCTGGCAATGCGGGCTCGGTAACAAGCACCGTCGTGTTTGGGTCCGAGCCTCCACGACTTGGCAGCAGCATTTCTGGGGTAAAGCTGATTTCCGCTCGCAGGCCGCTTATGTGATGTGGCCGTTGCACCAGAGCTCCAGGAATGGCGAAGTCCGGACGAGCAGAAACGGTAGCATTTCTGTCTGAACCTGTGCCAGCATGGGGAGTCGAACTCTGACCCATCATACCCCGAAGGAATTCTTCCAAATGGGTTTCGTCCCCAGATCGTGAATGGGCCCATTCCGTCATTTCCGGAAGTTTTGATAAGGATCCTCCTCCCACCAAGAATCTCTCATTGCCTCCCACGTGGTTTAAGATATCATGACTGAGTCGACCATGATAACGCGATCCGATAGTATTTGGTCCGGGAAGGGGCTGGGGCCGACGCCGGCGACGGCAGTTGCATCTCCCGAAGACATCATTCCGAGCATCTCTGCATTGAGATCATTTCCGTCTAAATCCATAGTAGGGATGCTAGTAGCTACTGTATTAGTAACAATTCCTTCAATGTCGGCCATATCGAGGTCTTTCGCGGTGGGGATAGCTGCTGCTGGTTGCCGGTGAAATCGCGAGGGCTGACGGAAATTCTGCCCAGCGCGGCGATTCGGGGTTGATGAAGGAACGATCGCAGCAGAACCTTGCGGCGAGTTCGGCGACGAGACAAGTGGCACAGTGCGACAGCTTGGGCTGGTAACCGCGACGCTCTGCGACGTCACAGCAACGGGATCGATGACGGGGAAAGACGCGTCGCGAAACGGAATGGTGACTCCTGGCGACGCGTCGCGAGACATGGTGATTTCTGGCGACGCGGGAACCGCGGGAGACGGACTCGCAAATTGCAAACCCTTCCGCAGGATGACTGGAGCTCGCCGCAGAGAAGCTTCTTCCTTGCGCGGAAAGTTTCCGCCTGCGCCGGCGACGGCGGCATCCGCCGCGGAGCTTCTTCCTTCCGCGGCGGAGAGAATCTGCAGCTGCGCGAAGCGCGCAGCCTCGGCGGACCGCTCGAGCAGCTCCGGAAGCTCTTGAGCGCCGAGATGACGGGCTGGCTCGTAACCGTGCGCTGATTCGGCGAGGCTTTTAGGATTTTCTCGTACTGACGGCGCGTTGGCCACGGTGGGAAGTACAACCATTACCGATGCAGACTCGATCGCGTCAAGTCGCTTGTCAGCGCGCGCCGCGGGGGGAATGCCGCCGTTGGTGCTGCTGCCTTCGAGCTGCAGCTGATGTACCCACGCTTCGATCGCGGTCCGCTGACGATGCGCCATCGCCGAAAGAGTCTCTGTGAGGCACTCGACGTGTTGGTGGCGAACCGAAGAGTTCGGTGACTGAAACTTGCCGTCCGCGGCTCGGGGATAATTATGACGAGCCTCAGCCGGACCGCCGCCCCTTGCGGGGGCATTGCCAAGTTCGGTGCTACTATTACGGAGGATAACGTCGCGCTGACTCGGAGACGACATGATAATGGTGCGACTCGTCGTTACTAAGTTTCCGGAGATAGTCTAGCAAGCTCGTAGAGCTAGCCGCGGAGCTAATCACGGTTACAGAGGTAATTAGACTCCGTCCAGTGTGCTTCGTCTGAACAAGGTCCAGTGGAACGAATCTCGCGAGCTGCCCCAAGTCCACAGCGAACGAGACGACGTGTTCTGTTGTTCAACGCTCCTCTGGAGCAGTCCCACTGCAAATAAATGACTACATCGCTGCATCGCGGAGGAGGAGATGTACTGTATAGTATAGTCCGCACCTGCGCTTGAGAAAGGCAAGCTACTCATCTCGACGACAAAGTCGGCTAGTAAAAAGTAGTGGGAGATATTCGGCTGCCAGTTCAGTGAGCTGTAGAAGGCTCTAGCTGATGCGTAACTTGCAGCTTTCCGTGAATTTAGACGATCTCCGCGTAGCAGAGAGGATTCTTCCCTCAAGCTGCAAATTCGAGATTCGAGAACAATCTCAAATAGTAGTACGGCCCGCCTTAGAGCTCGGGCTGAATGCAAGGGCGGGATCGGAGCTACATAAATCTGAACTGAGCACGTGAGGTAAGAGCAACTTCGATCGGACTCCAGTCTGGATTGCAGAGGATTCTCGCGGGCACGCCGCGTGCATTTCGTGCAAATCAAGCTTCAGGCTGCTTTGATGGTGGAGATGCGCGATCAGAGAAAGGCGGTGGTGTGCGCTGGAGGAATGCTTCGAGACAGAATGGGTAGGGGCAGTTACGCTGTTATGTTCAACGTTTCCCGGGTTTGAATGTACTGTAAGTCTCTGAGACACCTCCACCGATAACCCCATCAGTCCAGTCGCTACACGAATTGACTTTCCAGCGCTCAGAGGGCCTTCGACTTTACAACGAACGAAAACATCCACGAGACTGTGATCTTGTCCGTAGTTTTGACACCAGTTGTTTATGCGTGTCAGCCCGAGTCGGCCCACTTTAGCCGTGTCAAACCTTGTAGCTTCTGGGTTAACTCGAGTCGCGCCATTGGAAATGTGCGACGAAACCTCATTGGTGGGACGAGAGAATGTGTCCTTGTGCGATTTATGCACGTGCCAAAGTGTCAGGCACAACAACACAGCGGAAGCTGAACACCAACGTGTTGGATGCCGATTCGCGGATTATTTCACACCAATCCACGGACATGATAATTGGGTGAGAGCTAATCGCCAGGCTAATCGATGCGAGAATTTCGGTTGGATGGTGTGACCTGCGAACCTTGGCGAGCGGGATATCCGATGATTTTTACAGGCTGACGCTGAGCAATTTTTGACACCAACCAACAATGTATGCTCGTGTCAAAATCCCCAAATGACACTGGTGTTAAAACTTCGAACAGGCCCTGCGAACCTCTTGCCTAAATTTCCTCCTGAATCGTCGTATCACAACAAGATCATATACAGCAGGCACCGGGATTGTTTCCTAAGGGGGGGCGTTTTGGTTGGGCCTTGTGTTTGCAAATTGCTCCACGGTATCAACCCACTGTGGCTAGTAGGTAGGACAAAGGCGGAACACGGGGTCCAATGGCTTCGGCTCGAAGGGACAACGCTGCGAACCGTGTCGGAAACGGGCGGGGACTGGGGTTCTCGTATCGCAACAAAGATTTTCGGAAGTGAATGGGCCCTTGCAATTTGACGTGACTATACAACTATCGATATACAAGAAGACTGTTTGAGAGTGTTAAGGGGGGATTTACTGTTCACTTTAAGGGGGGATTTACTGTTCACTTTGAACAGTATTTTCCAGCTTAACAGAGGCGATGCAATAACAGTATATGTTGTGAGTGTGTATGTTTGGCAGGTATCGCGACATCCTGCAGAAATTGGGCATGGCAGCCAATGAGGGACTCAGATTTCATAATTCTTGGTCTGATTTGTCTGTTTCCCATGCTTGTTCCCATGCTTTTTGTTGTACCAGGTTTCCAGACGCTTGAACAAGCAGATGCCAGTGTTAACCACATACGTACGGTAACAATTGCCATGTATCATGCTTACCACTAGGAGTAACATGTGGTAGTGATTACCATACCGCCACCTGGAATATAAGGTGCCAGCGACCGCTACTTGGAGATACGAGCTGCGAGCTCGCGAACAAACTTGGCAGCAACCATGGCTGTCATGCCATCCACTGTGTCGCGCTGTGGGTTCAGCTCCACCACATCACCCGCCACCACATTGCCTGGCGGCAGGGAATGGGGAAAATAAGGGGGAGACGTGCAGAGGGGGTGAGAGGGGGGTGAGAGGGGGTGAGGGGGGGCAAATGCACTAGGGGTTCAGCTCCACCACATCACCCGCCACACCACATTGCCTGGTGGGGGAAAGCAGAGGGTGAGGAGGCAGAGGGTGAGGCATGAAGAGTTGGGGGGAGAGGAGGGGACACGTGTCCTGTGGGCTGAGGGCTCAGCTCCACCACATCACCCGCCACCACATTACCTGGTGGGGGGAAATGGGGAGGGAGTGTAAGCAGAAGGGACGGGAGGGGGATGGCAGGATGGGAGGAGGGGAGGAGGGGAGGAGGGGAGGAGGGGAGGTGGGGAGGAGGGGAGGTGGGGAGGAGGGGAGGTGGGGAGGAGGGGAGGTGGGGAGGAGGGGAGGTGGGGAGGGGGGAGGAGGGGACGACGGGACGAGGGGAGGGGATGAGGGAGAATGGGAGGAGGGGAGGAGGGGAGGAGGGGAGGAGGGGAGGAGGGCAGTGGAAAGATGTTGTTTGAAGGATTGTAACGGTGCAATGTGTGAAACGCCTGTTCAGAAGGTCACATAATGTAATGTGTGAAAACCGATCACAAATGCACGTACCAACCCGTGGTTGACTTGAGCATGTAAAAAAAGAAGAGTTCAGAAGGTCACATTAATGTAATGTGTGAAAACCGATCACCAATGCACATACCAACCCGTGGTTGACTTGAGCATGTACCACAGAAGAGTCAGAGAACAATCACCTTGATCTTCCAGAAGGTTCACCAGAATATTCACGTTTGAAATTGTGGAAGCAGAGACCGCTTGGCTCAAAGTGCAGCTTAAAAAGTGAAGTTTCACTGAGAATTCACTTGAATGTTCACCAGGATATTCACCTTTGAGGTTCTGCAGAATGTTCATGACGTCGCGGAAGGAGAGGCCGCCCGGTTCAATGTGGGAGACACCCGGCGCAAATGCGGGGTCGAGGCAGTCTATGTCGATAGAGACGTACACCCCCTTCACTCCTTTTCCCAGCTCCTGTTGGCAGTCAGGGGGGAATAAAGATGGAGGGGAGAATGAGTCAGTGTGGGAGACGCCCAGAGCAAATGCGGGGTCGAGGCAGTCTATGTCGATCGAGACGTACACCCCCTTCACTCCTTTTCCCAGCTCCTGTTGGCAGTCAGGGGGGAATAAAGATGGGAGGGGAGACGAGCCAGTGTGGGACGCGCCGTTGCAAAGGCGGGGTTGAGGCCGTCAACGTTGATGGATAAATGCACTCCCTTCACCCCCTGGCCCAGCTGCTGATGGCAGTCAGGAGGGAATAAAGATGGGAGAGGAGATGCCCGGCGCAAATGCAGGGTAGAGGCAGTAGATGTCGACAGAGACGTACACTCCCTTCAACCCCTGGACCAGCTCCTGATGTGAATAAGGGAAATGGGAGGAGAGTAGAGGAGACGAGAGGGGAGATTGCTCAATGTGCGAGACGCCCGGAGAAAAGGCAGGGTCGAAGCAGTAAATGTCGATCGAGACGTATACCCCCTCCACTCCCCAGCTCCTGAAGTGATGTTTTGAGACGTCTCAAAACACCACTTTTATCACGATCGAGACATGTACCCCCTTCATTCCCTCGCCCAGCTCCTGAAGTGCGGAGAGTAATGACCAAGGGGAGGGGTGAAGAGTAAGATAGGAACGGAGGAAAACAGTCGGGGCCAAGGTGGTCAAGGCAGCGAATGTGGATTGATACCACCACTTGAATGCCATGGCTTCGTTTTCAGTCGACTCAAAACTACACTTGAATGCCATGGCTTCGTTTTGAGTCGACTCAAAACTACACTTGAATGCCATGGCTTCGTTTTGAGTCGACTCAAAACTACACTTGAATGCCATGGCTTCGTTTTGAGTCGACTCAAAACTACACTTGAATGCCATGGCTTAGTTTTGAGTCGACTCAAAACTACACTTGAATGCCATGGCTTCGTTTTGAGTCGACTCAAAACTACACTTGAATGCCATGGCTTCGTTTTGAGTCGACTCAAAACTACACTTGAATGCCATGGCTTCGTTTTGAGTCGACTCAAAACTACACTTGAATGCCATGGCTTCGTTTTGAGTCGACTCAAAACTACACTTGAATGCCATGGCTTAGGGTCGGACATGGGCCGATAAGCACTGCAACACGCAGCCCATGTCTGACCCTAATAGCTAGAAGAAAACGCACTGCAAGCACACCCATCACCACCACTCCCCACCCCACCAGGTTCTCAAGCATCTCTCGGTTGCGATGGAAGTGCCTCATCTCATACTGCTCGAGGTGACTTTTGAGTCGACTCAAAAGTCACCTCGGTGGAAGTGCCTCATCTCATATTGCTCCACGGCAGCAGTTGGTGAGAGTGACCTACTGTAGTCGGTACAAGCACACCACCACACCACCACAAACCCACCCACCACCGCCCCACCCATCACCACTGCTCCCCACCCACCAGGTTCTCAAGCATCTCTCGATTGCGATGGAAGTGCCTCATCTCGTACTGCTCCACGCCAAATCGCCTGCCCTGCGCCCGCCCCTCCTCGTTGATCGACCGAATGCCCACCTGCGAGCATGGGAAAGGGTTAGAGTGGATTTGGGACAACAGCGGGAGATTTATTCATACAATGTATGCATACATACATTCTAGAAGGTAAGTTACCACGCTATGTTTGGAACAAAAAAAACAGAACTCTTAAACCCACCTGCAGCAGCCGCCGGCACGCTCCAGACTCCATGATGCGAGCAAAGGGCGAGGCGTGGGAATAGTGGTTGCCCTCGAACGCGTGGTAGATGTCTGGGTGCGCGTCGAAGTGGAGAATGTCCACCTGGCCGCCCAGATGCTCTGATACGGCCCGCACCACCGGGAAGGAGATGGAGTGGTCGCCTCCTAGCACCAATGGAGCGAGAGGGGACTGGGAGGGGAGAATGGAGGGGGGATGGAGGGGAGAATGGAGGGGGGATGGAGGGGGGATGGAGGAGAATGTTGACTTGGAGGATTCTCACGAATGTCCACCTGGCCGCCCAGATGCTCTGATACCGCCCGCACCACCGGGAAGGAGATGGAGTGGTCGCCTCCTAGCACCAATGGAGCGAGAGGGGACTGGGAGGGGAGAATGGAGGGGGGATGGAGGGGAGAATGGAGGGGGGATGGAGGGGGGATGGAGGAGAATGTTGACTTGGAGGATTCTCACGAATGTCCACCTGGCCGCCCAGATGCTCTGATACCGCCCGCACCACCGGGAAGGAGATGGAGTGGTCGCCTCCTAGCACCAATGGAGCGAGAGGGGACTGGGAGGGGAGAATGGAGGGGGGATGGAGGGGAGAATGGAGGGGGGATGGAGGGGGGATGGAGGAGAATGTTGACTTGGAGGATTCTCACGAATGTCCACCTGGCCGCCCAGATGCTCTGATACCGCCCGCACCACCGGGAAGGAGATGGAGTGGTCGCCTCCTAGCACCAATGGAGCGAGAGGGGACTGGGAGGGGAGAATGGAGGGGGGATGGAGGGGAGAATGGAGGGGGGATGGAGGGGGGATGGAGGAGAATGTTGACTTGGAGGATTCTCACGAATGTCCACCTGGCCGCCCAGATGCTCTGATACCGCCCGCACCACCGGGAAGGAGATGGAGTGGTCGCCTCCTAGCACCAATGGAGTGAGAGGGGACTGTCGGGGGAGTCGGGAAGAGGGGGACAATCTCAATCTGAACACATTCTCATGTTAAACCCAATGTACTCTTGAAAGTTAACATTCTTGAATGTATTCTCAATGTTGTAACTATCAAGAATACATTGGGATCGTTTAGCACTAAAAAACAAAGTAACACAGTGCTCAACTTCGACAGCCTCAAGAGCCACTTTGACTCGCATTCAAATACTTATTATAATTAGTATCAAAGTCATCAATCATCACCCCTGCTAAGACTGGCACACAGAATGAGTGGTTTCCCGTTTCCAAACAATCATTTGGAGTTTGTACAGATTATTTATAGGTGTATTACCTCTGCAAGCACAAGGCACATGGAGTCTGACACAGCAACAAGGGTTAAGGCGAGGCTGACATAGTAGTACAAACCAGGTGGTCAAGGGTTGACAAGGCGATAAGGCGAGGCTAACAAGGTGATTAACTCAGCCAGCACAAGGCGCACGGAATCAGACACGGTGCGCATGAGACGGCTGTCATCCAACCCACAGAAATCTGATACGGTGATAGGGTAACTATCCAGTAAAACAGAGTAGGATCAGGATTACTACCTCTGCCAGCACGAGGCGCACGGAGTCAGACACAGTGCGCATCAGTCGACTGTCATCCAGCCCACAGTTTTCTGATACATCGACAAGGGTAACTACCCAGTCAACCCGACTAGTATTAAGGGTAATTACCTAGTAAAATCAACTAGTATTAAGGGTAATTACCTCAGCAAGCACGAGGCGCACGGAGTCAGACACAGTGCGCATGAGTCGACTGTCATCCAGCCCACAATCCCGCATCTCCTGTTGTGATCAAGCCATGGAGTGTTGGACAGAAGGGGGGGATGCATGTAGTACGGTGCATGAGCTTGCCAATCACACCAAAATACACCACCTAGACCAGATAGCACCTGCACCGGATACCACCTGCACTGGATACCGCCTGCACCGGATACCACCTGCACCAGATGTCACCTGCAGCAGATAACACCTGCAGCAGATACCACCTGCACCAGATACCACCTCCACCAGTAGTAACCCCTCCTGCACGGGCACATCCCCCACGTCTGTGAGCACTCGAATGTCATTCAGGTCCTTGCCTGCAATAGTGGGGGAGCAGACCAAAAGCATACCACCTGCACCAGTGATACCCCCCCCCCCCCCACCCCCCCACACCCTCACCTCTCTTTCTTGCACCAGATACCACCTGCACCAGTAATACCCCCCCTCTCCTCTCTTTCTTGCACCAGATATCACCTGCACCAGAAACCCCTTCTCACCTGCACGGGCACATCCCCCACGTCTGTGAGCACGCGAATGTCGTTCAGGTCCTTGCCTGCTCGGGACAGTGGGGGCCATGGAAAGCCACAGCGAGAAAAGATTGCGAACTGTCCCAAAGAGCTCTGTCTTTTGAGTCGGCTCAAAAGTCAGCCCATGGAAAGTCATAGCGAGAGAAGATTGCGAAATGTCCCACCGAGCTCTGTCTTTTGAGTCGGCTCAAAAGTCATCCCATGGAAAGTCACAGGGAGTAACGAATGCAAGTTGTTCCAACGAGGTCTGCTATAAAGGAGGTTAGATTGGAAAGAAGGAATTAGGTCCTGTTAAATCCCAACAGAAGGAGAATCTTGTTAGATTGGTTCCATTGGTTCGATTGGTTTGACACATCTGGAGAATTGATTGGATAAGCCCCCCCACTCTCAGCAAATTACCACCTTTTTCTGATTGATTTATCTCCTCTCTCTCCCCTCACCTTCCTCTCTAAGGCCGAGTCGGTGGAGCCACACCAAATGGCCTCTCAAATGCGTGGAGGGGCAAAGGCAGTCAACGCTGGTCTATTCAACTCTAGTCAACGCTACACCAGTCGACTCCAGTCAACGTTAGTCAACTCATCTCTCACCTTCCTCTGTGGACGAGTTGGTGGAGCCACACCAAATCGCCTCCCTGATACGGGGAGGGGCGAAGGCAGTCAACTCTGGTCAACGCTGGTCAACTCTCACCTTCCTCTGTGGACGAGTTGGTGGAGCCACACCAAATCGCCTCCCTGATACGGGGAGGGGCGAAGGCAGGGCCCTGCAGGAAGCTGGAGTTGTGCCCCAGCGGGACGCCCAGGAGACACGCTGTGGCTTCTGCCCCCCCCGCCGCTCGCACCTTCTCTGCCTGTGATGCAACAGGCAGGGGGGCAGGAGGGCAGAAAGGCAGGCGGACAGGGGACAGGTTGGGCTAAGAGGGGCGAAGAGAGGGCCCTGAATGCAGGAAGCTGGAGTTGTGGCCCCACAGAGGCACCCCCAGCAGGCATGCCGTGGCTTCTGCTCCCCCTGCTGCTCACACCTTTTCTGCCTGTGATGTTAGAGAAAGAAGAAGTGGATAGACGGAGTAAGGGAACATGAATGGAGGGCGGTTAGGATTTGAAGGCAGGGCCCTGCTGGAAGCTGGAGTTGTGGCCCCACAGAGGCACCCCCAGCAGGCACGCTGTGGCTTCTGCCCCCCCCGCTGCTCGCACCTTCTCCGCCTGTGATGCAACAGGCAGGGGGGCAGGAGGGCAGAAAGGCAGGCGGACAGGGGAAAGGATGGGCTAAGAGGGGCGAAGGGAGGGCCCTGCAGGAAGCTGGAGTTGTGCCCCAGAGGCACCCCCAGCAGGCATGCCGTGGCTTCTGCTCCCCCTGCTGCCCGCACCTTCTCCGCCTGTGATGTTAGAGAAAGAAGAAGTGGATAGACGGAGTAAGGGAACATGAATGGAGGGCGGTAAGGATTTGAAGGCAGGGCCCTGCTGGAAGCTGGAGTTGTGGCCCCCCAGAGGCACCCCCAGCAGACACGCTGTTGCCTCTGCTCCCCCTGCTGCTCGCACCTTCTCCGCTTGTGATGAAGGGGGGCAGAAGGGCAGGAGGGCAGGAGGATAAGGGGACAGGGGGAAAGGGGATAGCGGGATAAGGGGACAGGGGGAAAGGGGATAGCGGGATAAGGGGACAGGGGGAAAGGGGATAGCGGGATAAGGGGACAGGGGGAAAGGGATAGCGGGATAAGGGGACAGGGGGAAAGGGGATAGCGGGATAAGGGGACAGGGGACATGGAGAGGGGGCAGGGGACATGGGAGAGGGGACAGGGGACAAGGGGCAGGGGAAAAGGTCACCTTGTCATGAAAAGCAGCAGCTGAAGCTAAGCGTCTCTCGAACGCCGTGCCTTGCGCGTTGCGCTCGCTCGCATACAGAATCAATGACGCTTATGTTATTCGACTCAAAAAACACATGAGTTCTCTTAACACTTGTACACTTTTAACTACGAATGACATTACGACTCGTAGCGCCCTAAGCTCGGAGCTTCTCTACCACCGCTGGCCTTTAAAATTCGTACCTTGAGTCGCGCTCGCTCGCGCACCAGCGTCAGCGACGCTTCCACCACGCGGCTCGCGCCCAGCTCCTCGCTCTCCGTCGCCGCCGCGCGCGGGGCTCCGCTTCCGCCACCCGCGGCGGAGGCGGACGCGAATTGGCGGCACAGCGGCGGGAGCACGCCGCCGGCGGTCGGCAGCGGATCGAGCGCAGCGGAAGAAATTGCCAGCGCGGGAGTGTGACGAGAGATAAGGTTGTGGCTGTGGCTATGGCGGCTGTGATTGAGCGCGCGGCGGATCAGAGTGTGCAACCGGCGTGACGGAGCCATGATATTTTGCTTGCGTGTGCAAGAGGTGAATTACAGCGATGGAATGCGGCAGGAAACGTCGGAATCCGGTGGGATGCAGTGAGATGCGGCAGTATGTGGTGAGATGCGATGGCGGGATCAATTGAGTGGAGCTTTTGGGATGGTTTCAGTGGTAAATGATGGGATCGGGATTGGATAACACGGATCGGCCGCGGCCGATGCGGAGCGGGCAAAATGCGAGCAATGGAGGTGGAAGGCGTGAAAGATAAGACTTGTGGCGACAGATTGGTGGAATACGGTGCGAGCGATGCAAGATTCGGTGGACTGGATAAGACGGGTTGAACGGTGACGATGCGGATCGGGCGAAATGCGAGCAATGGAGATGGAAGACGTGGGGGATGAGACTGGTGGCGAGCAGAAGGAGAAGTTTCAGGCTTGCACGCCAGGACAAGCCAATTGTTCCTGCTTCTCACTAGAGGCGGAAGCTTTTATGATCCACAAGCGAAAGTTTAGGGAACCTCGTTCAGGAGCACGGAATCCTGGCAAATCCCAAGGCCTGTTCCGACGTGGATTCTCAGCACGTGGGTGAAGAACTCCTTCCCACGTGGGACTTTCAATGGGATTCCGCCCACGTGGTTGAGCCAAAGATAACTACCACTTGACAAGAAGCTTCACTACAAGGTTCAGATGGACTTCGAGAACGGATGGATTTTCCTCCAAGCTCATTCACTCATAAACTAGAAAATTGCCTCTCTATCTGAAAGCAATAAAGGCCACAAATTTGATAAAAAGGCAGGAAGACCCACGAACTGGCCACATAATTATTTGAATGATTTCTATCATTAGAGTAAAATCCCCAGATTTTAGATTTTTGTGCTGCCAAACAAAGAAATGCACGTACAAGTGAAAAGTAGTGGTGTTGGTATAAATAATTATTCAGAGAACCATACGTTGTAAAGGATCGTTCTTTTCTGCATGCTGTGCAGTGCTGTGTATTGTGACGTGGACTTGATCGAATATGCGATTGGTAGTTTCATTGGATCACGCACCAGCACACAACGACACGGCACGTCCACGCCAGCACAGGGATATTGAGGCTGTACAGAGTCGAAATTCAGCGTCAACAATACCATGAGTGACGTGCATTGACTCGGTTCACACGCTCGTGAAGATCTGTCTGGCAGTGCTCGATCCGTCCACGCGTCCACATGTGCCACGATTGGACGTTAGGAGGATGCATAGACTGTGGGAAACCTGACGTGGATAATGCGGAAGTCGCGGATTGGAACCAGTGTCGCTTCGCAACCACACGTGGCTGCTCTCGTGGTGGATCATGCCAGCCAGGCTTAGATACAGTGCAGTACAGCAGCTTTCGGGCCGCGATTCGCTAGAAATGGATGAACCGCAAGCACAGCAATGCCAGACGAACGCTGGCGAACAACGGGTAACGATAGTGGGTCCGAGACAGTCACCATGGCCCGCCTAACGAAGTCGAGCGAAGTCGAGCTCAGGATGATTCTCTCCGTCGCCACTGTTCAGTTCCTTGAGTGACGGTGATGAGGGTTTCTTCTCGCTTCTATTCGGTTCCTTCTGTTCAGCTCGGCACCCATTATCGCCTCGGTGTTTCTCTTGTATCCAGTCTGGGAGAAGCAATGCTGACCTAGGAAATTGTGGAAAATCATCTTCACAAACGCTGGAAGCTACGGAAGGTGGAAAGGTGGGTTGTGGAGCTGGGTCACTTGTGTTCATTGATCAACCGCGGGCATCGTCGGCATTGATTAGGGTTACAGGGGTTCACGCGGACAAGGAGCTTTTAATTGGTCCGCAGCTACTGAGCTGGTCCTCTCCTGATAAGCAGCGTTCACCAACTTCCTCGTGGCTCGCCCAGCTTGCATTAGAGCGCAATGGCGGCCCGATTAGACCTCACGTCTCCCATAACGTCGTCCAAGCTAACCCTAAAGCCGTTGCAGCCCGGCCTTTTGTCGTCGTCGTCTTGCCAAGCCATGTGGTCGCCGTCGCCCGTAAAAGGATCAGCCTTACGCCTCTCGAAATCGACCTCTGCGCCCACCCCGCCCCCAATCCGCCCCCCGCTTCCCCCTTGCGCGCTTCCCCCCTGCGGGCTTCTCCCCGGCCTCCGCACCGCGTCGTCTTCTGCCGTCCCCCGCGTCGCTGCATCAGCCGCCGCCGCCTCCGCCGCCGATTTTCCCGCAGCCGGATCCGGCCCCGGCGAGCCGCCTTTTAATATCAATCCGGAGGAGCTACAGGAGGAGCTTTCCCGCGCTTTCCGCTCCGCCAAGAAGCAGTCTAAGGTCGCACTGCGGAAAATAGCGGACGGCACGGCGGGTGCTTTGCGCTGCGCGCAGAGCAAGGTGGCGGAGTTTGAGCGCGAGAATGACTTGCGCGGAAAGGCGCGGGAGGCGGTGGGCGCGGCGAACGAGCGGCTCGAGGAGGTCGCGTTCGAGGCGGAGAGGCACGCGTTTCGGTTCGACGCGCAGTTTGGGGTTTCAAGTAGAGTGGAGGAGATGAAACGTGCGGTTGTCAGTGCGGCGTACGATGTGGACTGTAACTTGCGGATCCGACAAAGAATGCGAGACATGATCAAGGAGATACAGTACCAACTACCAAAGGTATAGCGGGAAAAGGAGGAGTTATTCTAAATGCCGTGCTGTTCCCTCCTCCCACCCGCCGGACCCCGCTTTTCTTCCCACCCATTCTTGCGCTCCCCTCCCTTTCCTTGTCCTCCCCGGCCCTGTTCTGTCCCTTCGTATTCCACTCTTCGCCAGAGCATCTATCGCAAGAAGCCAAGTAACCTTTTTTTTTTTTTCGCTCACATTCGTTGAGCGATATATCACTTCCCCGCCCCACTTCCCCCCATCCGTCCCTCCCCTTCTTCGAATCTCAAATCTTACCCTACCCACCTCCCGCCTTTCCCCCTCCTCCCCTCTCCCGCTCCCCCTCTCCCGCTTCTGCCCCCGTCCGCCTGCGCTCGTCCCCGCGCAGTATCTGAAGCGGTGGGCGGAGTTCAGAACCACGCCGGCCGGCCAGCTCGTCATGGTAGGCTCTCCCGTCCCTCGCTGCTGTTTCTCGCAGCTGCTCCGCGCTGCTGTCTCATCGCACTGTTTGCTTGTGCTCCTTGTTTCTCGAGTCCTTGTCCGTCTGTCGTCGTCGTCTTCGCACGCCGCTCTCGCGGCATTTATCTACATCCGTCCTCCCTCTCTCTCTCTCCCGTCCACTCCCTATACTCCCTATACTCAACTCCCTCACTCTTTTTCTGCGCCTTGTATCCTGATTGACCCTTCTCACTCTGCGCCATTGATCTTGAACTAATGCTTGTGAATCCTGATCGACCCTTCCGCTCTTCCCCGCTCCTCTCTTCCCCCCCCCCCCCCCCCCCCAGTTTGTGGTATTTGCATGGCTCCTCATATCCGGCTGGCTAGCGCAGATCTTCCTCTGGTCGCTGTGCATTGTCCCGCTCCTCCCGCTGCTCGCCAGGGCGCTCGCCAAAGCAGCCTTCGTTGAGGTATCCTTTTATCACCTTCAAGCCCAGGCCTTGCTATATCTTCCTCTCCGCTGCTTGCTTGCTCGAACCTTGCTGTGTGATGTTCTTCACAGTACGATGTTGTGGATGGTTGTGGTTGCTCCTGATCGTAAACCTATACCAGCGTCCTCTTCTTTCGTTTCCCCCCTCACAAGTTTTTTTACTTTCCGTCCTCGCTTTTTCTCCCAGGGTGATTGCCCCTCGTGTGGAGTTCGTTTCATCGGGCCCCGGCGCGAGCTGCTGATCTGCCGGGGATGCCACCACGTGGTGTGGACGCCCAAGGGCTGGGGATTCCCAAGAAAGGCTCAAAGCTCCGCTGCTAAAAGCACCACCAGTAGCAGCAGCAACAAAGGTGCCGGTGGGGATAACAGCAAGCGCAGTGCACGTGGTGCTGGTGACGATGGCGAGGTGGATATTATTGATGTTGTGGCTATCAGCCCAGCAGGAGCCTAGCTGCGATGAGGTGTACAGTGGGCGGCACCAGCAAAAGAGAAGTAGTTCCCACCTTGTACTGTGGATGGCTTTCAGTTCAGGAGTAGCTTAGCTTCAAAATTGAGGATGTAGCACATTTTGTTGCAGCAGCTTGGTGGCCTATGCAACTAAGGTCCTCTAGTAGCAAATGTTGGATCAGATCAGAACCCATGTTAGGTACGGACACCGTGGGGAGTGTGAAGGGTAAAAGTGATAATGTATGTGGGCAAAGCAACTTGGCACGTATTTTCGGCTTCAAGATTAGACCATCGTGGTGTGGAAAATCCTCTTTTGTAATCCCGTTTTAAGTTTGAATTGTTGCGCCCCGTGAAGGGCACTCCAAAAATTGGGATATGCCGCTCAGCGAGGAACACACACGGTATTCTTTAGTAAAAGGCGAAAGAATAGTTCGCTGTGTGTGTAACTCACGGCTGATGACATCTACAGGATTCTTCTGAGTATTTGAGACTCGTCGAGCCTGGTGCTCGACTCTGCGTTGTGGGAATGCTCACAGCCGTACGCCACGTGGTAGATTCCGCTGTCCAAATTGGTACTCACACGGAATAGCCTAGGCTCTGCCAGGCGGACAAATAGTAGATCATGATTCGGCAATTTCGTGAAATTGGTTGTGACCAGTCCTGCTCCCAAAACTGGCTCGAGCAACCGTAGGTGAAGTTGATTGACCTCTTGCGAGACGCCACGACACCTCTTGCGAGATGCGACGACACCTCTTACGAGACGCCACGACACCTCTTACGAGACGCCACGACACCTCTTGCGAGACGCCACGACACCTCTTGCGCGACCATATCCCGGCTCGAGACACGTCGCTATCTCCTGCGGCGAACTCTCCTCGCCAGCTCGTCTGAATGTTACTCCCTCGCATCGCACGATCCCTCGCCGCCGTTCCCGCAACCTCCTTCCTGCGCGAGTCGCGGCCTCTCATTGTGACTGCTGCTTTGCGCGCGCTTGTCAGAAGATCTGCTAACACCGCGCAGCATCAACAACAGCTTGTGCGAGTTCCGACCATTTCTGGAGCGCCGTGCTGGGTTGAGGCGGCCCGTCGAAACGCAGCTGTAGCGCCCACATCAGCAGTCGTAGCGCCCACATCAGCAGCCGTAGCGCCCACATTAGCATTTGCAGCGTCCCACCAGTCTCACCCGTATCACCAAGCTCTCTCCCTTTACAGTCACGCAATGGCTCAACGAGTTCCCTTGAACCAATTTCAACACTCGCACACCGCCCGTGCAGCAATGTCGCCGCACCCTCTAGGTCGTTCCACATCAGCCGTTGCCACGTCAGCTCTCGCCAATTCTGTGACTCACCTCAACTGTCATCCTGGCCTCGGGATTTCCTCAAAACTGCACTCTTTTTCTCCACTTCATAGCTTTTTCACCGTTAAATTTACCCCGCTTTCGGGCGTGCCAGTGCTAACAGCCACCCCAAAAACACCTTCGGTTAATCCAGGTAGCCTCAGAACAAACATCCGAAGCAGCAGCAGCATTAGCAGCAGCAGCAGCAGCGGCCGTGGTTTTGGGAGCAGCAGCGGCAGCAGTGTAAGCAGTCGCGAGGGGGGTAAGGCGGGAAATAGACCCAAAAGTACGGGCAGTAGCAGCAGTCAGAGTAAGGCTGCTAAAAGCACTAAGAGCACAAAAAGTACTAAGAGCAGACCTCATGGTAATCCCAAGGGTGGAGCAAAACCCAAACCTACTGCCAAGCCTAGTTCCAAGCCTCCTGCCAGACCAGCTCCGAAGCAGCAAGGCGGACCGGAGCCTGATTCCTTGCAAGTTCGGGAAAGACGAACCACCGGAGGTTCGGGACTAAGGGTTGAGGGGCTTGAGGAACGATATGTTCCTTTAGGTGAGCAAATACGTGACTATAACGAGGGGAATTTTGAGGAGGAGGACGAGTGGGAGGAAGAGGACGAGGGAGAATGGGACGGAGGCGATGCTGACGTGGAACGAGCCCTTGCTGAGTCAGAACAGGAGCTCTCCACAGGCAGTCTGGTGCTGCCGCCCGGGCGGCAAGCTCCACGGGTGAAATCGGCAGTATTTGTGAAGAGCAGCAGCAGTGTGGCGCAGTGCCCCAAGGATACCAAGATCCCGGAGTTTGCTGTGATTGGCCGGTCCAATGTGGGGAAATCTTCCCTCATCAACATGCTGACCAATCATAAGGGGCTAGCACAGACGTCCAAGAAACCTGGTGAGTAGGGTGGATGATTAGAGAGTTTAGTTGGCGTCAAGGTTTAGGGTTTGAGGGCGTGGGCTTCAACGTTCTCCCCTTGCTTCCAAAAGTGCGGACCAATTTCGTCCTCATCGAATTCGTCCTTCATCCAAATGCTGACCAAGTTCCAAGGGCTTGAACGGACGTTCAAGAAACCAGAAGCACTCAAAGTAAAGGGTTTCGGGTGAAAGGGTTTCGGGCTTTACTCGTGACCGCCCCTTGCTATGGTTGTAATCGTCCCTCATCAAAATACTGACCAATCATAAAGGGTCACCTCAAACGTCTAAAGAAAAAAGGTGAGCTGGGTCAGGGTTGAAGGTTTAGGGCTGGAGGAGCATCAGGGTTCTGGGGTTTGAACTTTAGGGTTCATTGCAATCTTCCCTCATCAACATGCTGACCAACCATCCAAAGTCTCTGTGATATCCACTTTCCTCTCCCCTTCCTCTCCCGGCCCTCCCTTCCTCTCCCATTTTCCCCATTTCCCCTTTACCCCTTCCCCCTTCCCCGTTTCCCGTTCCCTGTTTACCGTTCCCCGTTGCCTGCTTCCCGTTTCCTCTTTCCGTACGTCTGTCTGTCCCCCAGGCAAGACACAGCTGATAAACCACTTTCTTATCAACGACTCCTGGTATCTCGTGGACTTGCCAGGCTATGGGTGAGTGAGTGACTGTTACTACTGCTGCTGCTACTCCATTCTCCTCCTCCTCCTCCTCCTCCTCCTCCTCCTCCTCCTCCTCCTCCTCCTCCTCCTCCTCCTCCTCCTCCTCCTCCTCCTCCTCCTCTTCCTCCTCCTCCTCCTCCTCCTCCTCCTCCTCCTCCTCCTCCTCCTCCTCCTCCGACCTCCTCCTACTCCTCCTCCTCCTCCTCCTCCTCCTCCTCCTCCTCCTCCTCCTCCTCCTCCTCCTCCTCCACCTCCTCCTCCTCCTCCTCCTCCTCCTCCTCCTCCTCCTCCTCCTCCTCCTCCTCCTCCTCCTCCTCCTCCTCCTCCTCCTCCTCCTCCTCCTCCTCCCTCCTCCTCCTCCTCCTCCTCCTCCTCCTCCTCCTCCTCCTCCTCCTGCTGCTGCTGTTGCTGCTGCTTCTGCTGCTGCTGCCGCTGCTGCCGCTGCTGCTGCCGCTGCTGCCGCCGCTGCTGCTGCTGCCGCCGCTGCTGCTTCTTCTTTGTCTGCTGATGGTGTTGTCCCCCCGCTCCTTTCCTTACCACCCCACTCCTGCAGATACGCCGTTGCCCCCAATGCCATCCGCACGGAGTGGAATGCGTTCACCAAGGCCTATTTCACCTCTCGCACCAACCTGCTCACCGTGCTGCTGCTGGTGGATGCCACCATTCCGCCACAAGCCATCGACGTGGAGTGTGCTGATTGGCTGGGGAGGAACAAGGTAAGTGGTGCTCACTTGGGTTCGCTATGGTTGACTTGGGAGCGCATGTGTCTGTGTGGAGGTTTGACTTTTGAGACGTCGCAAAAGATTGGCTGGGGAGAATCGAGGTGGGTGGCGTTGACTTGGGTGCGCTATGGTTGACTTGGGGGCGCTATGGTTGACTTGGGAGCGCTATGGTTGACCTGGGAGCGCTATGGTTGACTTGGGAGCGCTATGGTTGACTTGGGAGCGCTATGATTGACTTGGGAGCGCTATGGTTGACTTGGGAGCGCCATGGTTGACTTGGGAGCGCTATGGTTGACTTGGGAGCGCATGTGTCCGTGTGAAGTTTTGAGCACCTGTGTTTACGAGTGCGATCGCCAGTAGAAGGCCAGGGGGAACGGTGTTGATCCTTCCCCTTTCTTACCACCCTCTCCTAAATGTGTGTCCCCTTTTGACTTGTGAGTCGACTCAAAAGTCATCCTCCCCCTTTCTTACCACCCTCTCCTAAATGTGTGTCCCCTTTTGACTTATGAGTCGACTCAAAAGTCATCCTTCCCCTTTCTTACCACCCTCTCCTAAATGTGTGTCCCCTTCTGACTTCTGAGTCGACTCAAAAGTCATCCTTCCCCTTTCTTACCACCCTCTCCTAAATGTGTGTCCCCTTTTGACTTGTGAGTCGACTCAAAAGTCATCCTTCCCCTTTCTTACCACCCTCTCCTAAATGTGTGTCCCCTTTTCCCCCAGATCCCCCTCACGGTCGTGTTCACCAAATGCGATCGCCAGAAGAGAGCCAGGGGGAACGGTGTTCACCCTATTTCCCCCACTTGTGCCTCCCCCCTCACCCCCAGATCTCTCTCACGGTCGTGTTCACCAAATGCGATTGCCAGAAGAAGGCCAGGGGGGCAGTTACATGGGCAGATAGCTAAACGAAGAGGTGGTTATCCTGGATCCCCCCACCCCGTTGCCCCTCCCCCTGCTTCCCAGATTCCCCTCACAGTCGTGTTCACCAAGTGCGATCGCCAGAAGAAGGCCAGGACGAAAGGTGCTTACCCTAATTCTCTTATGTGCCCCGTTTCTCTTCGCCTCATCCTCGCCAGATCCCCCTCACGGTCGTGTTCACCAAGTGCGATCGCCAGAAGAAGGCCCGGCGGAACGGCCGCCCGCCAGCTGTCAACGCGGCGCTGTTCCGCGCTGAGCTGGCGGAGTGCTATGCTGAGCTGCCACCGTGGGTGATGACGAGTGCGGTGACTGGAGAGGGGAAGGACGCATTGTTAGCCCATATTGCACAGCTCAGGGAGTTCTGGCGACGGTAGTGGTGGGGTTTGGTGTGGTCTGGTGCTGTGTGGTGTTGTGTGGTGGTGGGGTTGTTACAATACAGAGCTGGCAGAGTGCTACGCTGAGCTGCCGCCATGGGTGACGACGACTGCAGTGACACATAGCCCAGTTGAGGGAGTATTGGTGGCGGTAGTGGTTAAATTTGGTGTGGTGTGGTGCTACCATATGTGGTGAGGCTGTCACTGTATAGTACTAAGTCAACGGAGTGTCACGCTGAGCTGCCGCTGTGGGTGATGATGAGTGCAGTGACAGGCGAGGGGAAAGATTCCTTGCTGACCCTAGTTGCGCCGCTTAGGAAATACTGGCGGCAGTAGTAGTATGGAGTCTTGGTGTTAGTCCCGGACACCACTAGCTTGCCAGTGTTTTAACTTGATAAGAAAAAGGCATGTGCGCCTTAAGGCTGAACCAATTGAAAAAGAATGAGCAAAGATCAAGCGACCAAGGCAAAGGACGATGGACACAGCACGGTACAATTGTAGCACACCCATAAAGACTGAGCAGACCAAGCATCTAGAGACACTGACCTGCTTGCTCTGCACATCACATGCGGCCAGTGAAAAACGGCGCTAAATTCTGTATGTGCATCGCAAGAATACATCAGTGTGTGTGGGTGTAATGGATGTGTGAACTGCAGGATCTCAATCAAGTATCAAGCGAGGTAGTTGTAGATCTGCGCGTTGCTCCTCTCGCTCCAAACCACGCCAGGTAGCTGTGTAAGTGAGTGTGCAATGCTGGAGGGTGCATAGAGGTGAGTGTGCAGGTTTTGTGTATGGGATGGGAACGTGGACTGGGGGAGCGCACTGAAGAATCACGCGAGGTAGTTGTAGATCTGTGCGTTGCTCTTGTCCCGCTCTAGGTACTCTCGGTCGATCAGGCTCTCTATTCGCTTCTTCAGATCTGCTGGCTTGATCGGGAACTTGAGCTGTAGAGGAAGGGAGACACAGGCACACATACAGGTGCACACACATACACAGAAACAGACGGAAAATCAGAACACAAGGTAACAGGCCACCTAAGAACAGCAGGTTTGAAGGGGAGCTTGATCTCTACACACACACACAGACACATGCACAGACAGAGAAAGAGAGCGAGACACAGGCGCAGATACAGACATCATAACAGAACAAAATGAGAGTACAAGCTAACAGACGACCTCAGACTAGCAGCCTTGATAAGGACTCGTGCTAGGTGCACAGGCAGGGAGGGCAGAGTAGCAGACGCAAAGTGAGTGCATCAGAGGAGAGGCGCAAATGTCTAGAGCAGCCCATGAGAGCTCTGTGATGAGCAGCGCCTGAGAGTGCACTGCCCCCTGTGTAGACACTTACCTGTTGGAAGAGCTCTGTGATGAGAAGAGTGTGGCTGAGCACTTTGCGTGTCTTCATGATTCGCACAATCGCTGCATCAATCTGCCAGCAGTTCAAGGGAAAATATTGGAAAAAAAACACTGAGATGCATTGCACGCGGAAGGAGCAACTAGCAGGTCTGCTTGAACAGGTCTTATCGAGGACATTCCATAGCAACAACCCTATGCGTTCATAGCGTCGCAATTGCTTCCTTAGTTTGCAATGCAATGACACTGCGAAAAGTGGTTTGAGACGCATATAGATTCTTGCAACATTACCACTGCAAACAAGAAGGGGATTAAAACGACATCAGGTATTGCCTATAACGAGTACCTGGTATTGCCTGTAACGAGTACCTGGTATTGCATGTAACGAGTACCTGGTACTGCCTGTAACGAGTACGTGGTATTGCCTGCAACGAGTACCTGGTATTGCCTGTAACGAGTACCTGGTATTGCCTGTAACGAGTACCTGGTATTGCCTGTAACGAGTACCTGGTATTGCCTATCCTGGAAAACTCTCTCCGTGGTGTTGGTGTTCTCCTCTTGTGTCTCCTTCAATTGAATAGCGTTCACCTACAGTCACACATGTGAATGAAGCAGGCAAAAAACACGCATCAAGCGAACACACAAGAGCAATGTAGAGATTTGTAACCACACAAACACAAGCACAAGCACAAGCACAAGCACAAGCACAAGCACAAGCACAAGCACAAGCACAAGCAGAGCCCAAACAGCCAGCCCCACCCTCCCCCTCCCCCTTCCCCTCCCATCCTCCCCTTTCCCCATTCCAACCCCTTTCCCATTTTTCTCAACCCCCCATAGGAATTACTCTGAGTCGGAAATATACTGTAGGGCGTTTGCTGGCGTGTATAGATTGAGAGAGTAGCAAATGTTACGGAACCACTAAGTGGTTTTCACCCCTCATCTTTCCTACCTCCTGCATCTCAACCCATCGTTCGCACCTTGAGTCGGAACAGCGATGCCGTGAAATATAGGGCAGGGCGCTTACCTTAGGAGCATATAATACTGTCACAACTCCTCAGTGGTGTTCACCCCTTGGAGCACCACTTTGTGGTGGGAGACATTACGAGGCTGCGGTCTCTTTAGCGTAAATTTAGGTTCAGAAAGATTTCAGGCGTGAAAGCCTGGTTGTAGAATGGTTCTCTTGTGTAAATCAAGTGGTGGTAACTAGTTTCGGCGTAATCGCCTTCGTCAGACCACAAGAAAGAAAAGAGCCTCCCGAGGTTTATATACACCCCAGGCTGATTCGGCTGCCCTACAGTAACCTGAATCAGGCTCAAAATGAAATTCTACAGTAAAACTAACTTCAGCACTTACGAGCAGAAACTAAAAAGCTTCCAACTCTCTTAGGCAATTTCCATGCCAAAATCGCCCTCCGCCCTGTAAAGATGTCGCGTGACATTATATCCAGGTGACTTTTGAGTCGACTCAAAATGGTCCCCACGCGTGAACGGTCAACCAACGGATTGAGCTCGCATTTCAACAGGAGGGGGCCGCGACTTGAGGAATGGCGAGATGAAAAAGCGCGAAGAAGTTTAGAGCGCTCCGAAAAGGAAACACCCTTAAAGATGGGAAGAAGGAATCGTTCAGGGTAACCCCGAACCCGCAGTCTTGCAAAGAAAAGAGCGCGAGACTTAAAAAAGTCTTCGCGTGATGAAGACCGCAGGAGAAATCTTCTCAATTCACTCTGGATAAAGCTGACTTTGGTGCTTCTCCGATGGTAAGAGTTAAACGGTAGGTAGAGGTACCTGTTCATGGGCTTCTGGTACAATTTAACGTCCAGGGTACCACACTCTTGAAACCGCTTCCCTGTAAAGAAGGTGACGTCCAAAAAATCGATGGACGATTCTGAAATGTTCCAGGTGAGTTTGATAGAAGGATGCAGCTGGTCAAATTTCTCCTTGAAACTCATGAACCCCTCCCGCGGGCCTTCCCAGAGGATAAGCCCATCGTCAATACAACGCAGATGCAGGGAAGGAAGCTTAGGAATAGACGCATGCAGCTGCTTGTCCAAAAAGCTCATAAACAGCACCGCGAAACACACGGCTACTGAAGTACCCATAGCGGTGCCGTGGATCTGAAGGAAGAAACGGCTGTCGAAAGTGACAAAACCGTTGAACATAACCCACTTCAAAAGACGAACGATCAATGGAGCCAGAGGATGTCGTTCCCTTCTTAAAAAATAATCGACTGCATCGATTCCATCCATTAGAGGGATTGACGGGTATAAAGACTCCACGTCGTAAGAAGCGAGTAAGAGGTTCTGCTGGAAACGTCTCCCTTCAAGTGCCTGCACTAGACTCTGAGAATCTTTAGTGTAAGTCGGCTGCGCCGTCACAAGAGGTCTTAAGACAGCATCAAGCCAGCGTGAGACGTTAGAGGTGACCCAAGAGTGGGACGCCGCGATAGGCCGTCCTGCTGGAACTTTCTTATGCACTTTTAGAAGAATATAGAAAGCCGGAACTCTCCATCCCCCCTTCGGCGCCTTAAAGAATGGTTTGTTTCAGCGGCTTATAATCTGTATGGACCTGCTGCAGCTCGTCGATGATATGTTGGACTGGGACTGAAGAATACTCCCGGTAGACTGCCGGGTTAAGTAGATGCTTGAAACAATGTTCTTTGTAGAAGTCTCGATCCATAACCGTAAGTCCCAGATTCTTATCTGCTGGTTTAAAAACAAGGTTAGGATCTCGAGCAAGTCGATTAAGAATAGGCGTGTAGTTCTTATGTCTCCGGCGCAACAGTGCGAAGTTCTGATTGCCGATGCTTTCCAACACCGAGTGTTTAAAGACTGTTAAGGCCGTTTCAACCTCGGGTGAAGCTTCTGGCGGTGTCCAGTTATCTCGTTTAGGTAACTTGTAACCGGGGTACTCCGACTGAAATTCAGCACCATCAAAGAGATACATCGTCCTGACACTCCTTATGAAACCGTCGACTTCTGACTCTACGCTAGACATGCTACGAAAAGCTGGGACTGGAATGAAGTTAAGACCCTGACCAAGAAGACTCAGTTCGCTGTGAGTAAACACACGGTTACTGAAATAATGTATACCCTTGTTGCTGATCCGATTCCGCAGCTGAAACTCCGTCTTTCGACCGAAAATTATCAGCGCGTACTGGTGCACGTCGGCAGCTAGCGTTTCTTGGTTTTTCCGGGGCCGGATCCTCCGTTTTTTGGAGTATTCGGTTTCTGCTTCTTGCTTCCAGGATGACGACCGGCGTTGCGGTTGATGTTCTTAGAAAAGGCACGACCCATTGTCTAAGCAGCTGCGTCTGAAGTACCATCAGTAGTCTTCTTCTGCTGCTGCTGCTTAGAAGTCTGCTTCTTCTTAGAATGGTTCCTGGACATCGCAGCTGGTTTGTTAGTCTTAATCGAAAAAGATTTCTTAGCATTGCTGTTCTTATCCGATCGGGTAGAAGTCTTAGGAGGATGTGTCGAAGTAGAACGCTTCAAGTTGAAGCTGAGTCTTCCTGCTTAACAGCTTTCTCGGCTTCCTGCTTCGCGATCTCTCGTACTGCTGGTTCAATAGGTAAGTTCTCTGCTTCCGTCACTGCAGCAGCTCTCTTGTCGTCATCTTCCTTCTTCTTCACCTTAAGGTGAGTCTCGGCGAC